CCCCCTTTAACCGCCGCTCGCGTTCAGCAGCGGCGAGGAGGGGACGAGTCGGCGCTCGCAACCGCTCGTCACCTCGGTGGGCAAGCGGGCAGCAGCTGAGGGTATCGACAGCTTTAGGAAGAGGAAGGAGAAATATGAAGCTCCGCTGATGCGGTGTCCTAAGGATACGTGTCCGTGACCCAGTTAGAGATACTTGCCAAGTGACCTGGGCTTCAGCAGAAGTACGGGAGGAGATGGGCTGGCTGACAGCAGCTATCGCTGCTCCGGCTGTGCAGGCCGAAGCCAGGGTGCTGGCGGGGGCTGCAGTGGGGCCCGGGGCTCTCCTTGTTAACGTGTTCCAGGAGATGGTAGCAGCTCTGAAGATTGCAGTCTGTGTTTGGCTCCATTGCAACAAACCTTCAGCACTGGCATAAAGCAACTTCTCGGGTCCCACGTCTCTGCACAGCGAGGTTGCGCACAGTGCTCACACAGGCACACGGTGCTCCTCCGGCTCCAAAGGAAAGCAGCTGCTCTCCATTCCCGCTTTGCACACACAGACCTGGCTCCAAGGATGCTCATCTCTACTTGGTGTTGCGATGTTGAACTGAGCTGCTGCAAGAGCAGCACTGAGGGCACAGCTGGTGCATTGCTTGGCCCTGGGCGTGCAGGAGTCCGTTCCCTCAACATCGTGTGGTGGGACAGGCCCTTCCGGCAGCCCCTGTGCCAGGAAGGCAGTGGAACAGCAGCATCAGCTCCTGTTACCTTGCAGTTTGTTCCTTCTTCAATTTTCTTGATAGATTATTTGAGGAGATCATTTTTCCTGTGTTTTACTGCATGTAGAAAGAGTATGGCTGCTTCATTCTTCCCTTTGCACTGGTTGTGTCAGTTTTCTTAGCATTTGGATTTTCTAATTTCCACATCTTGTTTATGGTCCCCCGAATCTCCATAAAGAGTCTGTAAAGAGTCACCCAGAGGCCTGTACCGTGAGTCAGAAAGCAGTACCCACCACATGGATATGTCTTGCGGGGACCTGTGTCAAACACGTGTATGAACCTCACCTGTCCAAGCAGCTGCACACAGGCAGGTTGGTATCAACCACTGAGTGCTGAGCGTGCAGGGACGCTGCAGACTGCACGCAGCTTCCCTCCAAATCAGCATAAGACACTACTGCTTCCTTCCCTCCACTATCAGCAATGGGATATTTATGGAACTAGTCTGCATCACCCAAGTAAATGGACTATGGCTCTTTTCTACAGTTTTGTTTCTCTTATGATCTTAATTTAGCACTCAGAAACATGTTTAATTTAAAAGAGTATTTATATGAATATGTATATTCTGATTTATAGTCTGCAGATATTTATATGCTGAGTTGTTTATGTTCATTTCAAGTTTTTGTTTTTCTTTTCTTTCAGGGTGAGGTTACCTCTGTCCAAAGAAATACGTGAAAAAAACCCAAGGTGTTTAAGGTTTTCACCGTGAAGGAATAAGCATAAACATGGCAGAATTCACAGGTTACAAGGAGACCTCGAATCGCCACCTACGATTCAAATTACAGAGTCTTAGTCGCCGCCTCGATGAACTGGAGGAAGCAACCAAGAATCTGCAGAAAGCAGAGGATGAGCTGCTTGACCTCCAGGACAAAGTTATCCAGGCAGAAGGCAGCAATTCCAGCATGCTGGCAGATGTTGAGGCCCTGCGGAAAAGAGTGCTGAAGATTGAAGGCAAGGATGAAGAAATTAAGAAGGCAGAAGAGCTGTGCCGGTTAATGAAAGAAAAACTTGAGGAGGAAGAAAGCCTCACCCGAGAACTGAAGGCAGAGATTGAGCGACTCCAGAAGAGAATGGCAGAGCTGGAAAAGCTGGAGGAAGCCTTCAGCAGAAGCAAGAATGACTGTACCCAGCTGTGTCTTAGCCTTAATGAAGAAAAGAACTTGACCAAAAAGATATCCACGGAATTAGAAATACTTAGAGTGAAAGTGAAAGAACTGGAAGCATCTGAAGACAGGCTAGATAAAAATGAGCAGAGCTTAACGGGTGAGTTAGAAAAACTGAAATCCTTAGCACTGAGCTTTATCAGTGAAAGAAAACATTTTAATGAAAGGGAAAAGCAAAATGAAAAGATAATCCAGGAGCTAACCCAGAAACTAGAGCAAAACAATAAACTAAATAGGGTAGACCAAACTAGAAATGCATCCAACTTGCTAGAAAGGTCATCAAATAATCTCATGGACAGAAACGATTTGAGAATTGAAGATGACTTGTCGCCAGCATTGTCCTCTAAAGAAACCAGGAGGAAGGGAAGTGTGGATTACCTAAAACATGTAGAAAATGATACGAGGAATAAATCAGAAAACCAAAAGAATAAAAATCAGGAAGACAACAAAGTGAAAGATCTGACCCAGGAAATCGAGAAACTTAAAACACAGATCAAACATTTTGAATCTTTAGAAGAAGAACTTAAAAAAATGAGAGCCAAAACCAATGACCTGCAAGACAGTTACTTGAGTGAACAGAATAAAAACAAACTCTTGATTGGTCAATTAGAAGAGATAAAAATGCAAATAAAGAAACAGAAAGATTTGGAGAATGGAGAGGTAGAAAATGAAGATATGAGCTTTTCTAGCAGGGGGAAACACGACAGACCTAAATACAGAGGTATCACAGCTGATCTGGCAGCGACCAAGCACAAGCCGAGGGAACTCTCACCCCAGCACCGACGGGCAAGAGTGCGGAACAGAGTTTTTTTTGACAGCTACAGCCACAGTGGGAAGCAAGTACCCAGCCCGAGCTTAATGACCAGGAAAGCAGGAAAGGGATCCAGTGCATCGGCCCTTCTAGAGGCTGCTGCCACAGATACAAAAAGACTAGAAGAGAAATCTTTAGTTTCCACTTTTTCGTCTGCTCAGAAGGAAGGCTGTGCCACACACAATGAGGGCAAGAGATCCAAAGAGCAGCCGTCCGTCCTCAGTCGATATCCTCCGGCTGCACATGAGCAGAAATCTTGGAAAGCTCCTTCTAAACCTCCGAATGACACAGGCCTAAAATCCAAGGCTGAAAAGCCCTATCAGATGCTGCGGGGCAACTGCCAAAACAACTCTGATGCACGAGATGAAAAATCAAGCAAAGGGGAATTAGTGTATTCTGTGCCTGAGAGGCTGAAAACAGGTCAGGCAGAAGCTGCTGACTCCATGGACATGCTCCTGTCCAAGGGTAATCACAGCTCTTCCAATGGAACCGCTTCAGCATATAGGTATCACCTCTCTTCCCAAACATCACCATCAGATCCCATCAGCTCTAAAGCAGAAGGAACCACCCTCTTTGCTGGGTCTCACAGACAACCCTCAGAAGGGAGGGCTAAAAAAGCAATAAACTCCCACGAGAAAGATTTCACAGACACTTTACTTGAAAATACAAAGCCTTCAACATTAATAAAGCGTTCACATCGCTCAAGGAGTCAAGAGGACATTCTGCAGATTCTTACAGGTGTTGATAAAGAAGACACAGAACAGTCTTCAACTTCAGTAACAGATCCTATAAATACTGTCTTAAAAACAGATTCCCAAGCCATCCAAAGTAGTCATGAAAAAAATAATTCAGAAGAAGAAACAGGAAGAAACAAAAAAGCAACCACCCAGTTGGACTTTGAGACAAGAAAGAAAGCCAGTTCCAAAGAGTTCTCCAATTCCAGGGGGCTTTTTAGAGCATCTGTTTTTGAAAATGACAAGAATACTGTAAATGATGAAGAATCCACCAAATCTATAAAAACATCGGATGCCAGCACAGGAGGATTTAAATCCAGGCGGTCATTCAGCCCAAGAGAAGCTCTGAGGTCAAAAGCCATCATTAAACCTGCAATCATTGAAAAAGACATGAAAGCAGTAATGGGAGGGACCGTTTCTGAGGCAGAGTCAGAAAAACAGAAAAGTGCTTCCAAAAGCATGACAAATAAAATGACAAGCAGTATCACCATCTTCCCTTCTGAGCCAACCTCCTCAAGGACTAGTGCAGATGTAACAATAAAAGAAAGGCACGTTACCACCAGCAACATCAGAGTTGCATCAAACGAGCCCTCATCGGGAACTAACAAAACTGCCCTGAAATTATCTGAGACAGACAGAATTGGAGATACAGCTCTGAGAAGTAGAGCAGAAACAGTGGTCTCAAGAAGCAGCATTATGATAAAACCTTCCGAACTCCAGGAAAAGAACAGCGAGGCATCCTCAGAGACAATCAGCTGGAAGAACCATGGCTCTTCAGACACGGTTTCATCAGAAACAAAACATGTCACTGTGAGAAGTTCTTGGAGGACCAGACAGGGCTTACATTCCCTAGATGACTCTCAAGCCAAAGTGGAGAAAAATGCAGCTTCAAGTATTACAAATATGTGCAAATCCTCTGTAGATCTCTCTGAAGCTGAAGGGAACCATGCAAGAACAAACTCGCTTGAGCAGAACTCAGCACGGACGAGCGCCCCAGTGGATTCTGCCAATGGCTCTGAACTGGGCTCCCGAAGGACCAAAAGTAACTTAAGTGCATCGGAGCTGCTGACGCGCCGGAGCTACATCAGTGACCCTGCAGTGGCTTCCACTTGGCACAGAACTGCATCATCTGTAAGTGTCCTATTTTAAGCACTGTTGTCCTTTTGATTTGTCCTTGATTTGGAATTCTTATAGATTATTTCCTTAAGTGCTGCCCTCTCCCAGCTTCGGTTAGCTTCAGTGGAGCATCTTGTATAGGAAGCACCTAAATTAGATTTTTTTGAAATTAAGTCCATTGGTGGTGTCCCTGTCACCCTGATCTTGTAATACTGTATGAAAATATTGTAGCTGTTTCCATTTGGTCTTACCAGGATCAGAGAAGACATAGTCATAGCTTATTTAGGGCATGGTAGGCTTTTCAGATCGGTGTTGCCTGGCACTGTCAGCTTGGTGTAGCAGAGAAAGATGAGTGAAATGAGTAAACTTTAACAGGATTCTGCCTCAGTCTGAAGCTCTAGTTCCATTTAGTAAGGAAGGGCTGCATATTTGCAGCATGGTCTCTCCCCATGTGAAACTGGAATCCAAATCTGGAGTATCCTGAGCATCTTCTAAACACAGATGAATGGTGACGGGTTACAAAGAGCTATTCCCTCCTTCTTGGTCTATGTCAGTAGAGAAGAAAAGAGCGCCACGAATACGGGTGTGCTGCTTTCTAGTTCTTCTGGGTGTTAGTAATGAGCGAGAGGACTCCCTCAAAGTGCAGCTGACACAGGAAGACATTCTGTCCGATAGGATCTGCTTCTCACTTGGAAAAGAGTTGCAGACTCCAGCATATTTTAAAATAGCTTACAGGCACCGAATGGCTGTGAAACCACGACTGATTCGTGCTGCATCCACTGTCTTTGCTCTGCACTTGGAGCTGAGCTGAGCACTCGCTTCCATCGCGTGTCTTGCGAAGGTCAAAGAGGCTGATGGGGCTGGTGGGCAGAAGAGACAAACTGACACCCGGTGAATCTGGCACTAACAAAGCTCAGGCGGGGAAGCTGGGAAAGGAGTTTTATATTTGCAAAACTCTTTCACTTCTCTGGGTGTGATTAGGACAAATTTGCACTGCCGCTTTGCTTTGGAGAGGATATAGTGCCTGGTGTTATGGAATACAGGCATTGGGACACTAAGGATAGGGCAGGGAACTGTGCACGGCAGTGCCCGGCTCTGGGAGCAGCTTTCATCAGGGTCAGTTAGCAAACTAAATCCCTGGTGTAAGGGGGCACGTGGGAATGGGATAACCACAGCCACAGCGCTCCAAGAGCTACGGGAGCTGTGGGAAGAAGGGAGTATGCAATCTGCCTTCTGTGCTATGGGAAAGACAGTCCAAGCCAAGGTCTTCCTCCTGGCCCCAGTGACTCTTGGTCTACAGTCTTTATTTTCTATCATGAATCCAGGGGGAAATGATAATCCTGCTTGTGAAGTTGGAAATCCAGCTCTGGGCCTCCCCTACCCACAGGAGCCTGAATTCTTGGCCTAGGGACCAGTTTCCAGGAAGGCAAAGCTTCATTATTACATTATTACACTTGGTTTTCTCATCTGTCCTATAGCAGCCCATCCTGGGGTGAGGAAACGCACTAGTGAGGCTCTGCAGGACGTTCCCGGGCTGGTCCCAAGGTCGCTGCTCCATCACCTGCTGGTTCTGCAGGTAACGAGGGCAGCTCCCCGAGCCTGGGCACTCCTGGGGAAGCAGCCGCTTTCCAGCCTTGCCCATTACCTGCAGTGACAAGCACTCAGCAAAGCAGCCGTGTGCTTAGTTCACACAAGGCTTCTGAATGCTGTTATGGGCCTGTCTGCATCTTACCTTGAAAAACAAATCTCATCCTGACACCTTCTATGCAGAAATCTGCATTCCTGTTGGTAAATTAAGTATATTTGGTTTTTACCTTGTAAATGAGAGGTATGATGTTTCCCTGGAAGCTTGGAGGTACAGGGATACAAGAGCAGGCCAAATTCCACATATTTAGACAGCTCAGGATATTGCATCTCGCTTTGGACAAAATCTTGTCTGGCAGTTCAGAGGGCCTGAAAGTCCTGAGCCCTCTCTAGGTCATACAGGTGCGTCCACCGCAAACCTACAAGTTCATATTCTTATGCAGTAGTAAAACTTTTGCAACTAGATCTTTAAGAAATTCATTTTGAGACTAAATTTTAAAACATTTTTTCCCCAAAATTTCAAAAAATGATTCCAAATAGCTCATTTGTGGGAAATCACTCATTTTTTGAAGACTGTATGGAAAGCCAGTTAACAGACACACGGGAAGACCAAGTTTCTCCTCTTGAAGACTGTCTTCAACCTCATAAGCAGGCTGTTTCCCCCGGTATTTATGTTTCTGATAGAGAAGTAGCTATTCCTCTGGCAGAAGTTGGAACCTTTAGTCCATCAATGAGCTCTTGCTTAAACAGTATTAGCAACTCTGCAAACTCACATTTTCCAAGAAGGCATCCCTTCTTTCTAGCCCCAGCTTCTCCATCCAAAATCTGAATTTGCCTTAAAAGTCCTGTTTCAAAAGCACAGGGTCTCTGCTGTTTTGGGCAAAACACATCTCGTTTCTCGCTCTCTTCCCTCCCCAGCTTTGTCTGACCCCCTGGTGCAGCACGGCAGGAGGCTGCGATCCCGTCTCTCAAGCTGTCCTTTGGGACAGATCCAAAGAGAGTGCATGGAAACTCTTGCAGGGAAGCTGCAAGGGGCGACGTTCTTGCTTTAGTAGCAAGGGCTGCCCAAGCACAAGCTGTAATTTCAGCCTTAATGTTTCACCACTGATGTAAGTAAATTTTCCAGACGAAGTTGCTGAGGTGTCAGCAGCTCCAGGGACTATTGCACTACAGAAGCAGCAGCCCTTTGGTCTTGCTGCTTTGTTGGGAGATGCAGAAACTGGGCAGGAAAAGCCGTTGGTACCGATGGATGGAGCCTGCAGCTTGCCCGTCAGCTCCCTCTAGTGTTTTTCTCATGCTCCTTCAAAGATCTTCGTGCCATCCTCTCCTTCAGGTAGCGTTTCACGTACTCAGTCTTTTCCTGATGTCTTTGGAGGAGGAGGACACCGGGTGAGTTTTAGTTGCTGCACCCCACTGAACATCTGATACCACCAGCCGAACATCTGCCAATGTCAGTCCCGTGTCCCTGAAGTCTGTGACTGTCAAACCAGGTACACGGGTCCCAAGAAGATGGCACAGAGGTGGAGCTGGGCCTGGGTAGGGAGGACATCCAGCCCCCACTACTCCCATCCAAGTGTATCCTGTACCTTTACTCGGAGCCCGCTCAGGGCTTGTGGGCTAAGCACTCCTGTAGCACCATGAGACGTGATGAAGACACTGAAGAAGGTCATCTGCTCCTTGCCAAAAGCGTGGGATGCTACTCTGAAGCTGGAAGAGCCCTTTTTCCCCCCAAAAAAACAGCACAAAACAGAATAAAGGCCTTGGGAAAAATTCCTGACATCCAGAGATTAAAACACAGCAAAGTGCTATAACAGACAGGTTAAGTGGATGCTTATAGATTCATTTGAAGTCTACCTCTAGGTTTTAATGTAACATCTGTGGTGCAGAGCCCAGCCTCACAGCGGCCACAGCCGCAGGTGACAGGGAGAGCAGCCTCGTGCTGCTGGCTGCTCTCCTGCCAATGCTGGGGCTAATTCAGGCACTGCAAATTTTCAGCAGTCAAATATCCTGCCAGAGAAATACTGACAGCTTCATCAGAAGCACAAAGCCCAATAGAAACAGCCTTGGCAAGCTGGGCCAGTTCAGGAAGATGATTGGCAACATAGCTTAAAATTCCCACCCTCACCATATGTCCTGGCCCACCATCGGCATCTCTCGTTCACAGCTGGCCAGGGACATGGTCAGTTCTAGGGAGGTGTGTGAAAGATCCATGCAGATCTGCAGAGCTGCCCGTGCCCACATCTCCCTTTTATCCTAGATCTCCAATTGCAGTTCCTTATCCTGACTTTCCAACTAGTCACTGAGGGAACCCTTGCAGAACTAAGCCTTTTGGTCTCTCCATATAACACAATCCGTGGTCATCATCACTCATATCTTATTTGGGGGGGAGCCTCAAGAAATCACATCCAAGCTCTGCTCAGTTACTAAAGCTCAGTGGAGTTATAACAGATCATATCCATGGTTGCAGGAAAATATGGGAGCATTTTACTGCCTCAGGGACCTTCTCTGTTAATGCAGACTTTGCAGGCGCTCTCCTTCCAGCCCTCCTGTCTCACGTCTCCGCTATCAAGTTCCATCCTGTCCACAGGAGCCCTTGTCTCGATGGCAAGGATGGCAAGGACTGTTCTTGGTTGTCCTGGGCTTCACAACTGGGCAGATACACTTGCTATGTGAACCAGACTGCCTGGACTGTGTTTGCACCATTCCCTTCTTCCTGCGTAGCGCAATCCTGAAATCGCTGGGGTGTCTCTTGGAGATAAGGGCTCTGGGCTCTCAGCTCAGCTGCCTCGTCTCCTTACTGTGTCCTCTATGGTCTGCCCTCTTGTTCACGCAGTGCATGTTTCCCAGGCTCCCAGAAGGGCTGATTTGGCCATACACGCCTATTTCTGATTTATTCCATCCATGGGATTTTGGTACGGTGTTTCCAGGGTGACCTTGGTTTCATAACCTCTTCTCTTTGTAACGAAGGCAGAGTGGTTTCATGGCCAGCCCTCGTATGCTGTCTTCTAAAAGTGGGAGTTGAGCTTTGACTAGGACATTCTCTCTCTTGTGTTCTTCCTCAAATCACACGTGTAGCGCTGAGTTGTGCTTCATGCCCTCTGTACCACCAATGCTCTGTCACTGTGTTTCGGAAGGACCTAATCTTCCAGGAGCAGGACTTCCAGGAATTTATTTCCACTGCACGAAGGTTCAGAAGGTCTTTTGTATCCACAGACCAACTGTCCAAATGGATGGCCACCTAGGTGCAGACCAGCTGCAAAAAATGCAAGGATCAGTGAAGTAATCAGCCTTTATTCCATTACCTTCATGGGGCTGTGCAGCTTGTTTCAGCAAACATGATGCCAGCCCCAAAGCAACCAGAGCTGATACAGCCCCCAGGAGCTCAGTGCATCCTTTGCTGTGTGTCTCCTAACTGCTTATATTATTGCATGTGTATTTCCCTAAAGTAAAAAACAAGATAAGTAAGGTCAGCATTGTAATAATTTCTGTTTTCTGAGGTTAATGTGCCAATGCCTTACAAATTTGTTAGAAATTTGTAGGTAACAATGTTATCATAAAAGGTTTTCCAGCCAAATATTAACAATAATAACAGCAATAGCTAAAGCACTTCCATGTTTAACTCCTCAGGTGAAGATGGTGGCGTTTCCTCACTTTTGTTGCTCATGGAGCCACGTACAAAATCAGCAAAATATATAGGTGCCAAAAGACAGCCGTTAGGCACCTGAATCCCAGAGTGTGACCCCTAAGAGGTCTTGGCAGATGTTCAGGAAAATATGGGGAGTTTAAGAGCACCATTTAGCTTCCTGTCCTAGTAAAACTGTGTAGGACACTAACACATCGCTTCATCATTGGCAAGGAGATCCAGGTTGCTGGCCATCCCTAGCCTGTGGTATTAAAAGTCACAGTTAATATTTTTAAGAGACTGATTCAGTCACTAAACTGGGGCATTTTCAGGTGCTGACACTCCTGTCTTCTCAAAACTGGGCTTGTGGGTCTGGTGGGTACCTCACGTGCCCCAAAAGCCAGGCCAAGGCCAGGTGAGCACAGACTCAGCTGAACGCAGGACAAAGCAAATCTAATCTCTGCACCCAGACTTGTGTGTCAGAAATCAGGGGATGAATTAAAAAATGAAATAGCACAAAAGTGAGGACATCCCGGAGCTGGCCTGGGTGCTAGTGGGAATCAAACCAGAACTAGTGAGGACATCCCGGAGCTGGCCTGGGAATCAAACCAGAACCCGGCACTGCAGACACCCAAGTGCTGGGAAACCAGTTCTACTCTAGACCCCACTCAGAGCTCCTGAATCCCAAACCTCTTATTTTTCTTCACACAGGAGGAAAGCAAAGATTTTGTGCCTAGTTCCAGAAGAAAACAATATGGCTCTTCTGAGTATCTTTCCCAGGTTGACACACCAGGGAAAAGGCCAGTCTCCAAAATGGACCTGCAGGACACGGAATCCAGTCCCCGTGCACAGCTGGGTGTCCAAGCAGAGGAGCAGGTACGTGAATCCACGGAGCATCCAGAAAAGAATTAGTTTTGCAAGAGACCAATATGCAAATGAGTGCAAATGAGGGCAAATCTTTTAGGATAAGTCGTGTCTTGAATGAACACTTCCCAGAGGTGGAGTGTCTGCTATAACACTTTGGTAAATTATTCTACTAATTTCCCATACCAGTAAAAAATGTGGTACCTTATTTTCCTGTTCTTAATTTAACATGTTTCAAATGGCCTAGCGGCTAGACACCTTCTCCAGGGAATAAAAGACATTGTGTAGAGTCATCTCCAGCCACACACTTTGTACCGGACAATCAGGGATGGAGGGAAAAAAGTAATAAAAAAATTAAATAAAAGGCATCTGGGGAGAAGAGATCAGAGCATCTGACTCAGCCCCTCCAGCTGACGGCTCTGCCACGATGGTGCTTGTCTGCTGCAAATCTGCTCCCTGCTCCTAAAAACCACACATGTCTGGATGCCAAAAGAAGGGGAAAACAGCCCATATTCTGGTGACGGTGACTGACTTGCTGAGACAAAAAAATATGTGTATTTCAGCCCCCTTCATTTGTAAAGGAGCAACAGGTTTCCAGGCATGTTTCAGACTTTCAGTCCCAGATGCACAGCTGTGTATAAATATATTTTATATGAGTAACATGCATATAACATATATGCATACATATATAAAGTATATGCATAATACATATATATGTATGTGCACATATAGATGAAAGACTGATTTTCTTTCTTTTTCCTGTCATTTCCTCTTCGCTGATGTAGCTGCTCAGAGCTCAGCATGTTGCCAGTGTGACTCCTAATTTAGCTCACAAAGAAAAAAAATCTCTCTTGTTGATTTTGTAGTAATTTAGGCACCTAATGCAGCACTGTGGAGCACCTGGCTCCAGCAGTAGAATTCTGTCCATGGCATCACAGCACAAAATGTTTGTTGGCTCTGGTTCAGGGCTTATTCAGGCTGCAAACCCCACAGGCTCTCACTGCCAGCACTAAAATTTCACCACAGGTTGCAAGAGTTAAAGTGGAGTCTTCCCATTTTACACATCCATCCCAGCAAGAAATATCTGAAGAGCTCAAAGCTTCCTTCAGCATGATTCATGCATAATTTTTCAAGCATAATTCAGCATAATAACGTCTACCTTACTGGAAGGTCAGGAGTTATTGAGCCCTGATCTGTCAGCGTCGGCGCTGCAGAGAGCTCTGCAAGGTCATTCCTCTTGGTGAAGGAGCACAGGGAAGAGCCGGGGGAAACACAGTTCCAGTGGAGTTTCTGAGATTGGTATCCAGAAATCAGCAGTGTTTGCAGTAGAGAGGAGCGAATCCATACAGCTCCTGCTGGCAATTGAGAAAAGAGACTCAACAGAGATGCTCTGTGTGGTCGCTGAGAGAGGTTAATGACAGTGAGATTCATCTGACTGTACTTAGCAGCTGTGCTATGTTTCTTTTGCCTCTGCAGACAGGGTCAGTATGGGACAGAAACCTGAGTGGATTTAGATTATCCTAATACAGACACCATATTGTGCCCGTTACTTCTTCCTTGCTCAGCTTTCCACTGGCTGCAATGGGGGCCCGAATACCCGGCCCGCAGAGCTGTGCTCTGTAGACAGCTGATGTTAGGTCAGTTCAGTCTCATGTTTGCTGCCAGGTGCTGGTTTTGCATTTGCCAAATCCACCTCCCAGCTTAGAGGAGGTTTCTGGGTGCAGACTAAGAGATGATGGAAAAGCCTGCAGGGACAGGGCTGAGTAATTCTGCTTTGGGTTTACTCCATTAACAGACAGAGCGTGTGTTTTTAACGAGATCAGTGTCTTCCAAGCTAATCCTTTCCTAGCCTTTTCCTTCTACCTTGCCCTCAAACCTGAATCCTGAGGAGGATGGTAATGCTTGTCCCAGGGCAGTCAGGTCCTGAGCAGTCTGTGATCCTGTGGGGTTCTCTCTTATAGGGTGTTTCGCGTTCCTGCCGGACAACATCTAGGAGATGAATTATATTCCCTTCTACCAAGTGAACACTCTGCGTAGTGGAGCAAGAGACAGGATATTACCAAGCTCACAGGTGTCACATGGGCTCTGTGACCCCTCCAGAGGCTTCAGCTAGCCTGAAACGAGGCTTGCGAGGTACAGGAGCTTTACCAGTGAATCTCCCTTCATTGCTGAAGAGGCAGCTGCAGAGACTTTGCTCAGGGGACTCTCACTTTTCATCTCTGTACCTGCAATCCAAAATCCCTCCGTAGGATGATAAGTCTCTCTCCCTGTGGAAACCCTGAGTGCGTGGTCACTCTTTCAAGCTGAACTGTGGTACTCCCCGGAAGGCGGTAACTCCTCATTAATCACTTCATTTAGACAAGATCCCAGCAGTATTCCTGTGATGCGCAGCCCAGGACAGCTGTCCTACAACATCTCCACAACTGAAAGCGTTCAGTTCCTAGTGGGAGTTTGCCTTCTAATACACCCTTAGTCACTTGAGCTGCCCTCACCACTACCTGTGTTTCCAGCACCCTCAATGTATGGTCAGGAAGAGCACGTTCCCCACTCATGATTTACCCACCAGCAGGAGAAGGGGAACAGGGAAGGAGAGCAGAAACTGCCGTTCAGAAGCAGTTTCTTTCCCGTTCATCTCAAACTTCATGGGCTGAGAGCTCACACTGAACCCAACGAACAGCAGTTCACACAGCAGTGAAACCTCCTCCTGCCTTGCACCAGGACGCCCGTTTTTGCCCGAAGCTTTATGTCCAGCAAACTCCATCAGCTTGAGCTCTGCTGCTCCTTCTCAGCCGTTGAACACTAAGGGACAAAGAAAGGCTTTGCGTGGGGCACAGGATTCCCTTCTTCCTCCCCAAAACAGAGGGGAGACAGAGCCATGCCAGAAACCATTGCGAGTGCCCAGGACTGGGCCCTGGTTAGTGCCCACAGCACCTTGATCCGAGCGGCCGGGAGCCGCCGCCGCACGGGGTTGTGCCCGGCAGAGCATCCGCACGGCCTCGAGCCCGGGGACGGAGCCTGCCTGTCCCCTCCCGCGGCCGGACGTCACCTTTGGACCCCTCACCCGTGGGTGGAGATGCCTTAACTGCGAGAAGCAAAGGAACCAGGTGGAAAAGATAGTGGGAAAACATCTATCAAAACACCGTAGTGTTTTGAGAAAGTGTTTCCTAAAACAAAAGTGTTCTAGTGCTAGGATATTTTTATTATTGTTTTAGTAAAGGTGAAGTGGAAAAAGGAGAAATATTTTATTTTTGGAAAAAAAAAAGTCTTCCTATGCAGTTTTAGATTTTTTTTCCCCAAAAGTTATATTTTTAACCATTCCTTTTATTGCTTTTTACTTCATATAGATGTGTCAGGTTGCATAAAAACAGAGCAGGATAATGCTTTTAAATTAGTACTAAGTGCAGGTGCTCTGATAATCTTAAAACTAAAGTATATTAAAATAAACTGTTATCAACTACTATTTCTTGCCCCTTCATGAGAGGGCAGTGCTAGCAGAGAATGGGGTAAAATCCACTACAATAGAAAAAGCATTTAAAGTCAAAATTCAGATGGAAGAAGGTAAAATCTTGCAGTAAAAATCAGATTTCTGAAATTCTCTGCCACAATCCTCTCCCCTTTTCATTAGGACATGCTGAAAAAAAGAAAAAGGTTCCCATTGTGCACTCTGAAAGTAAAATACAGTTTTAAAGTACCCTGGGAAAGAGCAGCATCCACCGTGATCATCTAACCCTGCTTAGGGTGCACCATTACAACAAACAAAAGTTGTTGAAAGGGGCTGCTTTAACGGGACAGGTTTCCATCCCTCTGCACAGCTGCGGCTCCTCCTGCTCCCCAGCAGCATCCCTGCTCGAGCAGCGATCCCGGCGGATCACCAGCCCCAGGATGCTGCGGGTTCTGGCTCTTTTTTGGCTCCCCTTAGTCTCAAGTATCTCTCAAGGAGATATTTCCCTTCATCAAAGAAAAATAAATAAAAATAAAAAGCTACCTCAGACTGTTTTCTGTTTCATGGCAGATGTGGCTGGAAACCCTTGCCATGCCAGTACCCCCATTCTGTAGCCAGCAACCCGAATGCTTCGTGCTATAACTGCTTTTTGAATGTGGGAGCTGGCTTCTCAAAGGACCTCGGGCATATATATGTGCAGCTGGTTACCACCATTTACGCTCCTCTACCTGCTGCTCAGCTGCTGTCCCGCTATATAACGTGTGTTCAGCTGCAGTCGCTATGAAAGAACGCCTGCTGACCTGCTTGACAGCACAGTGCAATCCTCTAGAGAAGCAGAGCATGCAGAATTCACCCCGTGTCCTGTCAGTGCTATCCTGACCTGCAGCATGGTTGGAACAGCCACATGCCACAGCTGGACAGGCAGCAAAGCACGTGCGGCACCACCGAGGGGGAGGATTGCTCCAAGCATCTCCTTTGTGGCTCCTCACCGTGACAATCGCTGTCCTGCAGCAGGACAGGGGGTGCCCATGGGAGATGCATTCGGGCACCAACCCCCTCTTTTGAGGTTTCTCGTGTTGCTCCAGCTTAACGCGGCGCTTCTAAAGCTCCTCCCAACCGTTCTGAATCCTGGCACTGAAAGCTCCCTATCTTTACCATGGCACATGCCAGGTTAGCATAAGCTTCCCTGCGACCGGTCACAAAGCTCTTCAAATTACCCTTCAAATTTCAGCCCACAGCTCATCCAAAAAAGCGTTCCTGAAAATGAGGAAAAAAAAAAAAAAAGAGAAAGAAAAAAAAAACACAAAAAAGCCCACAGCCCACAGGTGTCAATAGTTACCGTTCTTCCCTTCTGTCAACCAGAGCCTCTCTCTTCCTTAGCTAGAGCCTAGGGCAGCCGAAGGGACCGTCCCCGCTGCTCTAAACGTGCCGTCCGGTGCCACCGCGCGGTCGGAGCCTCTCGGCCGCGGACGTCACAGCCCCAGCAACGCAGCGGCCCCGGCCCCTGCCGCTCTCCTCAGGTGCTTCTCGCAGAGCAAGTTCGGCTCCGTTTCTCCAGCTGCTTCCGCCTCGGGGAGACCAAGCAAGGCTCAAGGCGGCCTTAGCCCTTCGCTCAGTATTTGACAGCACGGACCGTGACGGTGGGCTCCGGATCCCTGCTTGCAAGAGTAATAAATAGAAATGCCATTAAGTAACTGTAAATTGGGTTATTTTTTACCACAACTGAGATGAAATCTGAACCTGAAAGAACCCCTTTTTAGAATTGAAAGGGACCATGCCCTCTAATCATGAGTGCAATAGGAGCTGATTGTATTGTTAAACTTATAGTGATGACTTCAGGAAGCACGATGTGTTTTACTCAAATTGCACACTTTTTTGAACAGCTGTAAAATAGAGTATATGTGTAAATATTGCCATCACTGAAGAAATATTTGTAATTTTAGCATATAAATATATCGGGTTTCTCAGTGGACTTGATGATGCTGAGGAGCCGTGCGTCAAGCATTCGGATAATTCCAAAGCTGTAAACGTATTTGCTGCACAGAGGAAGCGTGTCCGGGCCCGGCCTCTTCTCCGAGGAAGCAAAGAGACCGGTTGGTCCCTTTTGGAGCAGCTTTCAGCAGGCTCCAAGCTGAAGCCAGCCGGGGCCGGCAGCTCCTGCTGCTTCCTTTGCCTCTGGAAGCGGCACCGCAGCTTCCCTTGGAAGCGCCGTGGGCGATGGCAGCCTCGCCGGCAGCTCGGGTCGCGCAAGCGAGGAGACGTCGCGTTCAGCTGCGCTGGTGCCAAGGGCTGCCAAGCTGCAGCTCGCTGCTCACGGACGAGGGGGAGACCTTCCCGCAGACGGTGCCTCCAGGGAAGGGAAAGCGGCAGGAAGCAGAGGGAAGGGCGGCCACAGCTCGGTGCTCCAGAACTGACACGAGCAATTCCTCAGCTGCAGTTTGAAGCAATAGTCATGCTGGTGTTACCTCTAAATAGTAGACCTCATCTTTGCCACCCCTGCACATCCCATGGAGTGGTTCAGACCCTGCTACCAGACCAGCCTTCAGTGGACTGCTCTGCACACCGCGAAACATGAAGCCATTTGTCACCGAGGCCTCTGATGGTCAGTAGACTATGAACTCACCACCCAAAGGATGATCTTCCTAGGCTGTCCAGCATGCAGTGCAGGCTCCTGCCTTGAGGAAGCGGCACCCCAGACTGCATGGAATGTATTTTTAAGATAAGAAATCTATTTTTTTGTATTTGCAGACATATGTTTGGGCTGGGACAGCTTAGTTAAAAGACAGTAAAGCAAGAAGTGTTTTCATATTCACAGACTCATCCAGAGTCAAGCAACTTCTCCTGGATTGCAGTATTCCCTGTTTTCCTAAAGCAAACTGTGTGTCCAATAGAGCTATTGGCACCGTTTCACCCTCCAAGTCCTCCCCTCTCAGCATGCTCAGCAGGGGGAAGCCCCATCTTTCCTCCCAGGCTGCCCAAATAGCAGATACCGATGGTGCTCACTCTTACACAGCGCTCTTAGTCTGCATGCCAAACGTAATCATACACTTTATCTGCATGTCTTTCCTGACTCAAACATTGTCAGCTCTACAGTATATAACCAATAAAACTCTCTCTTTTTACGTGTTTGTGGTGTGGTATTTAAGGCCGAGGCTGAACTCCTCGGCGTTCATTACTCAAAGGTGACTCTTCCCCCTCTGCAGCAGCACTGCGGCTTTCCGCCCACTCTCCCTATCCCATTCCTGC